CCCTGCTCCTCCCCTAATTTTACACTCTTTGGATAATAAGAAAAAACGCATAAACCAGCTCTTTCTTAGATCCATTGATGTGATTTCACGTTAGGCCAAATGGCTGCCCTGGCTCCACAGACCCTGGGAAAAGGCCCTCATTTTGTTGGGGTGGCTTGGGGGACACAGAGGTCTCTAAGAAAGTAGTGTTTTTTTCTTTTCTTCTTCCCTTCTTTCTTTCTGGAACTTCTTTAGATCAAAAATATGAGTAGGGACATCAGATCTATCTGATACTGTGAATGTTTGACCATATCTGTGGCCTTCACCTTCCTGTCCTCACTCCCCAGCTGCCCTCTGACCTCATTAGAAGCAGTGGCTCTATTAAGTACTCCCCCTAGCTGCCATCTCAGAAGACCAGAACTCACAGGGGTGGGCAGGTTGATTCTTTTGACCAAAAGCTCTAATGACACATTTTTAGCAGTGATTTGTGGAAATAAAGTAATTAAGGTTTTTAAAAACAAGGTTTTCTAGTTCTGGGAGTGTGTACTTGATCCTAGGGAATGGTGTGGTTTACCTCAAGCTGATCCTGGCAGAAGTATTTCCTGAGCCTCTTTCTTTAATCCAGGGAATAAAGGAATGTGACCCAAAGAGCAGTTTTGATTCTTGATCTTTCCTGAGGATACCATTCTGGTCCAAGAGAATGGCTTTGAAAGCCATCCTTCCCACAAAATGACCAGGGTCACTCTCAGGTTTTGTAGGTTTGATTTTGTGGTGGGTTTGGGGTTTGGTTTTTGTTTGTTTCTGGAAATGTGAGCACTGATATACTCAAGTCCACCTTCCTGAGTAACTTCTGGTAAAGATTTTAGAACCTTTCATTCAGCTAGACTTTTCTAATCTTCCAGCTTGCTTCCTACAAACAGACTTTCCTGGAAGTTTATTAGTCTCCTAATTCTAAGGAGTTCTGGTAGCATAGTGGTTACGAATCAGGTTGCTCACCTTAAGTAAGTCAGCAGTTAGAAACTACCAGCTGTTTCGCAGGAGAAGGATGAGGCTTTCTGCTCCCGTAGAGATTTACAGCCTCGGAAACCCTGTACTGGGTCGCTATGCGTCAGAACTGACTCTAGGGCACACAACAACAACAACAATGTGATGGGTAGAGTCCTGGTGTGGTATTGTGGGTTAATGCATTGGACTGCAAGGTTGGTTTGAACTGCAAGGTTGGCATTTCCAGCTCACCAGCGGCTCCTCAGAAACCCTCTACTTGGTCTCTATGAGTTGGAACAAACTCAATGGCAATTAATAACATTGTGATAGCTGGAACTGTGGTTGCCTTGGCAGGGCCAGACGTTCCCCACCCTGCTGGATTCGGTTTCCAAGGCTTTACATTTTTCTCCGGCTAGCGGGCTTCGACTGCAAACCTTGTGGCTCACAGTCACTTGCTTATGGTATGGAGCTGCCGTGCTCCCGGTGTGTCATACATGCATATCCTCCCTACGTCAGCCTGGGAGCCACGGTACTCCAACTGCTATCAGCTCACCACCCACCCAGATCTTGGCTTCTAAATACCGCCCTCCACTAACAGAATGAGGAGTGAGTCCTTACAGAAGGGCACAGGAGCCAGCTTCAGTGGGCTCCCAATAGCCAAAGTGTGAAAAACCACCAAACTGAACGTCAAAATAAATGATGAGAGTATCAGATTATTGATTCATTGAATACAGCAGAAATCCTTAAGTCCATACTAACATATGAAAACTCTTTCTTAGAGCAGAAGGTAATTAGAAAGCAGAATAATGAGAGTGAAATGCCACAACCGTATCCCAGTGCTAGTGGACGGGGTGGAAGTTATCACTAGATGAGAAGGCTGGGAGTGGAGGCGTGATCAAGAGGGCTGATGTGGAATCAACAGTTCAATACACACACATCCCCAACACACACACAGGCAACACTAACAAATACAAAGGGGAAAACAAAACAGTGGCTTTCCAGTGGAGAAAGCTGGCAGGCAACAAGTTGAATGGACTCCAAGGTTAGTTGCAGCCTCACTGTTAGGGCTGGACAGGTGTGCCAAGGGGATGCACTGAGACACAGCGCCCTATTGTGACTTCCTGTCAGGGGTGCACTTCCTGGGCCCTGCTATGAGGAAATCCGGACTCACCAGGTTGAGTGGTTTCCTCCGAATAAAAGGTTTACATCCTCTAAGTCTGTCAAAGATCTAAGAGTCTGCTCCAAATGGAAGGAGACTGATGAAACAAGTATTTACATGCAAAAGCGAGTGTGTTTCTGGATAGGATCTTGGACCAGAAAAGAGAAAGACATTGCTAAGACAGTTGCAGAAACTTAAATGGGATCTGTGAAGTGGACCTCGATTTCCAGAATGGCTGGTTATGCCGACCAGCGTCCCTCTGGCTGGACAGAGAGGGGACACACTTCAGTAACTATGTCATGCAGTACCAATATGCTTCAATCATATTTTCTCATATATGGGGAAGGGAGAGACTACGAAGAAGGATGAAGAGGCCAACGCTGTAAATGCTAACAACTGGGGGACCTGGATGTAGGGGAAGCAAGAGTTCTCAGCAGTGTTCTCTCAACATTTATGTCTCTAAAATTAAAATTACAGTGTTAGGAAGGAAAAACAGATGGAGAAACAATAGCTTCACATTTTTATTGAATAAAGTTTTTCTATGATTTTGTAGCACAATAAAACAAATGTAGCAAAAAATAAACAACAGTGTTCAATAAGCACAGGACTGCAAACCACAAGGTTCGTGGTTCAAGCCTGCCAGCCACTTTGCAGGAGAATGAGACTTTCTGCTCACGCAAGGATTTAAGGACTCAGAAATATCAGAACCCTTGTACAGGGTCACTATGAGTCAGAACCAATTCATGACACTTAACAGTTCTACCAATCTGGAATTCGTCCGCTTTTAGACAATAAAGGCCAGAGTCCTGGTGTGACACTGTGGGTTAATGCACTGCAAGTTCAGGTTGAACCGCAAAATCAGCAGTTCAAACTCACCAGCCACTCCTCAGAAACTCTATGCAGCACGGCTATGAGTCAGTACCTACTGCATGGCACTTAACAACAATTCTCCTGATCCGACCTCATCCACTTTTAGACAATAAAGTTGTATTCATTTATTTGACTAAACAAATTAAAAATGATACTCATCAGGCAGATAGATTAAAGGCTTCAATGATGCCCACAAGTGTCACTGCCACAAACAACACATCAGCGTCACTACAATTAGCTCATGTCCTTCTCCAGAAACAGGAGACAGTCTTATGTGGCTCCCCTAAAAGGTAACTTGTTTATCTACAGGATCTACAAAGATCTGCGTGGAAGTTCTATTAGTACAAAATTCCATTTTGACCTATTTTATGAATACCCAGTGACATCTATACTATAGTGTCCAATCTTACTTTCGCCAAAACCCCATGGTGCAATACCAGAGACATGTACCATGGTGTATCAGTAACTGCTCCTCTAGTAACCAAATCCACTGCTAACGAGTCAATTCCCACTCACAGTGGCCCTTCACAGGGTCTACGTAATTCTTTACAGGAGCAGACAGCCGCAACTTTCTTCCACAGAGCAACTGGTGGGTTTGAACCACCAACCTCGTGGTTAACAAGTCCAGTGCTTGTTCCAGTGCCACCAGGGTTCCTTCTTCTAACACTCCCCTTTGATGATGGAGTCATGGGCAGAATTCAGATAGGAAATCGCGCCCTGCACAATTAACGAAATTCTACACAGCTACAAATATTACAGAACTAAACGCAAGGAAACCATGAGCAGCTAATGGAGCCTGCACACCGGTGAGGGACTGTGAGGAATTGTCAGGGGGAGCCCTCCATACAGGGTTCCACATATTTTAAATGCCATCCCATTTACTCCTCAGACACATGCTGTGACATCAGCATTTCCTCCTTTAGAGGGGAGAGAGAAGCTGGAGACAGGAAGGACCCCTACTGCAAAGTTCACACACTGATGGTTGAGAAAGGCCCTTCCTGGCTTCATGCCCACACTTTTTGCTAAGTGGCTCGGGGTAGGTAGGGAGTCCACATGCCTGGGGAAATACCTACTGCTTCATTATAAATGACTCAACAAAACAAAACTCAAAAGACAAAGTGAAGACCAGGATTTAAAACAAAACGCACAATTTGCTTTTTTGAATCAAGGACTTACCCTGGCTATTGCAGTTAAATTCAGTAGCCAGTATCCTAAACTGACTTTATGTTATAAATATTACAGTGAAAAGTGTATCACGTAAGAAAGGTGCTCTGGAAAAACTTAAAGGCAAACAGCTTTTCACCATTGTCCTAGAATGTGCTTGATCTTAAGAAAAAGAACAAAAGAGATAAATAAGCACTTACTGAACAAAAATTAAGGACAAAACATGAAACAAAATGTGTATGAACTGTCCAACAAAAACGGGTTTCTCTGTAAACTCTCACCCTATTCACAATAACAAGGCTTTGGTTTTTAAAATAATGACAAAAGCAAAGTGACGCTTTCAGAAAAGACACTACCTCCAGAAAGAATGGCAAGGTTTCTGCCACTGTGAGCTACATTTCACAGAGCATCCCCATTTAACCATTTAATGAGTCACCTAATATTTCAAATCTCCTTAATCTTATCCGACCCACAGACTATGCCCTCTTCATGTCAGCCTGGTCTACCACGCTTCACCTGGTCTCCCATGATTTTTTTTTTTTTTTACAAACTGAGGGTTTGTGGCACCCCTGTGTGAAACAAGTGTATGGGTGCCATTTTCTCAATAATATCTGCATCCTTGGTATCTCTGTCACGCAATTTGGCAATTCTCACAATATTTCACACTTTTTCATAATGCTATGCATACTTCATAGGCTCCAAAAGAGTGTAAACTTTTATATGCACTGGGAAACCAAAAAGCCCACGTGACTCGCTCTACTGCGATATTTGCTGTACCACAGTGTTCTGGGACCAAGCCGCAATACCTCCGAGGCGTGCCTGTGTGGGCGCTAAGATGACTTACTTGGGTTCTCCTATCTTGATGCCGGGGTGCTGTGTGTAGGCATGGGAATGTGTACTTGGGGCGGACTTAAATGCCATTGGACAGATGGGACATTTGTAGAAGACTTCGCAGTGAGAACCTTGGATGTGGGACTTCAGGGCAGCCACGTCCGAGTACACAACGTTGCAGTGCACACACCTGTCAGAAAAACACACACAGAGTCAGCCAAGCGTGAACCTTCCCTGAGTGACAGCCGGGCACAATGAGTGTATTTTAATATCTCTGGTTTTTTGCTACTTGTAACAGATTAACTTGCTTTTCTGTGTTTAAGAGACAAGATCACTGAGAAGAAAAATAATATTCACATGGTCAAATTTGGATGCATCTTTCAAGTTGCTGGGGTGAATGTCTAGCCTCCAGGCACACTGAGACTGATGGATTGTGGGAGACATATCAAGACCAGGGACAGAGCCAGATCTCTAAAGTTAGAGAAAACACCCACAAGCTGGGCTTCCTACCCATCCATCCCCAATACCTAAGAAGCATTTCCAAATGGAAGAAACCTTCACTGTCTAAAACGCATGCCAACCACAGAGGGGCAGGGAAGAGCAGGCCAGGGCTAACGGCATTCATCCACTGTTACAGTACAAACTGGAGCGGCCAATGGGGCTGGAGCTGACGGTGGCCCCTAGGGTGAAGAGAACCAATCACCTGGGTTTTTATCTCCTGGAAAATGAATGTTAAGTACACTTATACTTGCTTAAGAAACTATATGAGATATACTTTTAAGATGAAAAATCAACATCTTAAAAGTGCTTCTCTAGCTACTACTTTAATTTCTACTAATTTGCTATTTGGCTCATTTCTGATTTCTCTCCTACTTCATCTCTCCCACTCAAGGGCTCTCAGCAGTCTCTTTGTTCATGTCAGAAATCTACCTGAGACTCCCAGGAGTCTACAGACACGCACGCGTGCCTCTAACATGACTTGAGCCTACGTGTTACAGGATGTGCACATGAGCTGACCTAAGGAAGAAAGTCTGTGTGGATAAACGAGGGGAAGGGAAAGGGCTAAGTTATTTTGGGGGGCAGAAGGCTCTTCCCCAAAGAGCTAAGTTACAAAATGACGTACAGTCGATCTTTCAACATGGACAAAATCCAAGTAAAGAACTTTTCCCATTTTGGTTAGAGAAGAGAAGGAGCATAAATGTATTTAAGAGGTACAAAAGAGAAAGCTCTCCACATTGATTGAAGCCAGACTTCACTACGCACACCCTTTTTCCTAGAACAATCACCCCATTGACCCACAGGTCTATGTGAGAGCCAGTAGGCCACAGCTGCATTCGTACATTCAGTAAAAGGGGCAGGGAGTTTCAGAGCCAAGGCTAACAGCATTCATCCACTGTTGCCAGTACACACTGAAGTGGCCACTGGAGCTTACGGAAGCCCCTAATGGTCACGACACTCAACAGGATTCAAACACATCAGTTCTCCTGCAAAGGAGCTGTGTTCCCAGAGGAATTGCTTATGGAGGGATCACTGTACGTCCCTAAAAACCATGTGCACAGACCACTCAAACATTAGTTACCACTAAATGAGCTTGAATTGCAACAGACGTTAGCAGTATACTGACCGAAAACCAACTCTCCTTGTGTAGTGCAGACAGTTCTTGGTGACGTGGGTCTGAAAGTGCACCGACCTGCAGATGGCCCCACACTCGGGGCAAGTGTAGGGAGACTTGTGCTGATGGATTCTCTGGTGGGATGCAAAGCTGCACTGGTTGGGAAGCAGCATCTGACAGATGGTGCACGTCTTCTAAACAAACCAAAGGAGAGAAGGGGTTGGTCCTGCGATTGTCAAATATGCCAAGAATCATGGTCAACACTCAAGACACTACACATCCCTCATGTCAAATACTACTCTAATTGACCCTAAGTCTAAAGCACACTTGGAGGTTTGACATCCAGTGGAAAAGTCTCTGCCCTGCAATAAATAACTAACATGTACAGCGTGATCAGGTTCATGAGAACGTCAGCTCTAGGCAGAGGTCCAGTTCTGTTCCTTCTTCCTTTCATTTCTTGCCAAGAGGAATTCAAACCAAAAACCAAGCCCTGCCCACGGCCATCAAGTTGATTCTGACTCATAGCGACCCTATATAGGGTTTCTGAGATTGTACAATCTTTATGGGGACAGACAGCCTCATTTTTCTCCAGGTGAGCAACTGGTGGGTTTGAACCGCCAACTTTGCATTTAGTAGTTCAATGCACAACCAACAGTGCCACCAGGGTTCAAAGAAGGATTGTTGTTAAGTACCGTTAAGTCTGTTCTGATTTACAGTGACCCTGTATAAGGAGTCTAAGAAGTAGCTGGTGAGTTTGAAGCACTGACCTAGTGATTTGCAGACCAATACTTACCCTACAGCACCACATCATAACTTGTAAATTCTGTTAGCAACTCAACTTCAATGTCTACAAACACGTTTATAAGCATCTGTTTGTTCTTTGGGCAGCCCATGACACTTTCAATATTCTCCTCCAACACCATAACTCAAATGCGTCAGCTCTTCTATGGTCTTCCTTATTCACTGTCCAGCTTTCACATGCATATGAGGTTACTGAAAATACCATGGCTTGGGTCAGGTGCACCTTAGTCTTCAAGCTGACATCTTTGCTCTTCAACACTTTAAAAAAGGTCTTGTGCAACAGATTTGCCTAATGAAATACGTCATTTGATTTCCTGGCTGCTGCTTCCGTGAGTGTTCATAGTTGATCCAAGAAGAATGAAGTCCTTGACAACTTCAATCTTTTCTCCATTGATAAGAATGTTGTTTATTGGTTCAGTGGTGAGGATTTCTGTTTACTTCACACTGAAATGCAATCCATACCGAAGGCTGTGGTCTATGATCTTGTTATCAGTAAGTATTTTAAGTATGTTTTTATATATTATGTCTTACCCCAAAATATATAAATACATAATAATTAGCCTTCAGGTTTTTTGTTTGTTTGTTGTATCTACCATTTTTAGGGGTTGCATGAAGGAGCTCTGTTGGCACAGTGGTTAAAGCACTCCATTGCCAAACAAAAGATCAGTGGTTCAAACCCACCAGACCCCAAAATAGGAGCACTGGTGTGGCGCTATGAGCTAATGCATCAGACTGCAAAGTTGTTTGAACTGCAAGGCCAGTGGTTCAAGGTCACCAGCTGCTCCTCGGAAACCCTATACAGGGCTGCTATGGGTCGGAACAGACTCGACAGCACTTAACAACAACAACAACCAAAAAATGGAACATGGCATAGAAGATAACATGTGTTTGATCAGTATTTACACTTTTGCATAAAAACAAGTATTTACTATCTTCTAAAATGACTTGCACTGAAGTCCATAAGGAGTCCTTGTGTGGCTCTGTAGATAAGCACTAGAATGCAATGTCGATTTGAAACTCAGTATCAGCAGTTCAAACCCACCAGCCATTCCTCAAAAAATAACCGACTTGACGGCACTTAACAACAACAACCACCAAGTCAATAAAGAAATCCTCAAAGTATAGACTCTTGCTAAGACTTAAAATATTCTTTTTATAATGTCAATGGGGTTATGAACATTTTTTTGAAAGCTTGTGTTCTTTTAGCTTTCAAATCGAGTCCAAAAGTTTGGTTTTGAAAATGTTTGATTGACCGACGCAAACTTTCAATATTTTGGGTTTTCTCCTGAAAGAATTAAGATCCAAATTTTATCCTGTGTAAGGCAACCCTCAAACTGAAGCACGCAGCATGGCAATCAAACCACAGTTTGTCCTAAAATCCCTAGTTTTGCTGCTCTAAAGACACAATTTAGCTAGTGGCAAAAATGTAACTGTTTGCAGTCCAAAAGGAGCAAGGATCAAGATGTTAGCTTGTGTGGCGAATTGTTTCTTAAAAGATGTTTGTCTAGTGTTTTGCTAGAACCAAGAAGACTGCCTCAGTAAATGTGTCCCAGCAGGTTGGGACTAGAAACCACAATGTTAAGGAAGGATTGTAGTTTAACAACCCCATTGTAACTGTTTTTCTTACAACCTCAAATGCCTGTGAAACCAGAGCCTTTTGTTTACTCCAGCTGATAAAAACTTCACTCTCCTCTTCTATTTCAAGACACTACCATGCCCTGCCTAGGTGCTAGTGTGTTTCCTAATTCATGAATTGCTTTACCTTCAACAAAACTCTTTGCTTTCACTCCTAACATAGTATAATAGTGGTGCTTTGTTACAACAATCGCATAAGATGTTTATTATAATCACAAAACCAGAACATTATAAGCATCTTTGATGAGGTGGTTGTTGTTGTCAAGTGCTGTCAAGTGGGTTCTGACTCAAGTGTCCCTGTTTCCGAGGAGTAAATAGTGGGTTTGAACCACTGACCTTGCTGTTAGCAACCCAGTAATTATCCTACAGCGTTAGTGTCATTAAAAAATGACATTTTCTTTCTGATAACACCTATTTCAAAGGTAAAAACAGTCTGCATAAGGAAAGCCAATCAGCTGGTTCATTCATTATAAGACCCTGGGAGTCCTGGTGTGGCGCTGTGGGTTAATGGGCCAGACTGCAAAGTCGTTTAACTGCAAGGTCGGCGGTTCAAGCTCACCAGCTGCTCCTCGGAAACCCTAGAAAGGGTCCCTATGGGTCGGAACCAACTCGACGGCACTTCACAACAACAAATAATCAGAAGGTGGAATGTACATGCCCTCCCTGCCCTAGGAAAATAGTAATGGACTGGCACTGATCATTTGGAATCAGATAATCGACTACTCCAGGAATGACAATGAAGAGGAATAGTGTCACACTCATTATCAAAAAGAGCATTTCAAGATCTATCCTGAAATACGACGCTATCAGTGATAGGATAATATCCACTTGCCCACAAAGCAGACCATCATTCAAATTTACATGTCAACCACTAAAATCAAAGATGAAGAAATTGAACGTTTTTACACATTTTTGGAGTCTGTAATTGCTCAAACATATGATCAAGATGTTTAGCTAATCAGTGATGACTGGAATGCCGAAGTTGGAAACAAAGGAGAAATGGAAGTTGGAAAACGTGGCCTTGGTGATAGAAACCATGCTTGGAACTCATATTACAGAACTTTGCAAGACCAACAACCTATCCATGGGAAATACACGTTTTCAACAACACAAACAGCAACTATAAGCAGGATCTCAGCAAGTGGAATAAGGAGGAATTAAATCAACTCCTTCTGTGGAAAGATACAATCGAGAAGTTCAATGTCACAAGTCAGAACAAGACCGAGTCAGGCTATGGAATAGATCATCAATTATTCATATACAAGTTCATGCTGAAGTTGAAGAAAACGAAAACAAGTCCATGAGAGCCAAAATACAACCTTGAGTACATATATACTCAACTGAATTTCAAGATCATCTCAAATAGATTTGTTCCATTAAACACTAATGACCAAAGACAATTAGAGTTGTGGCTAACGTCAAGCACACCATGCATGAAGAAACCGAAAGGGCATTTAAAAGAATGTAAAGACAGAAAAGACAAAAATGGATGTCAGAACAGACTCTAAAACTAACTCTAGAATGCACAGAAGAAACTCAGAAACTAAAGCAAATGAAAGAAATGATGAGGTGAAAACTGAATATAAGATTTCAAAGGACAGCTCAAAAGACTAAATAAAGTATTATAATGAAATGTGTAAAGACCTGGAATTCAAAAACCAAAAGGGATGAACACACTCAGTATTTCTCAAGCTAAAAATACTGAAGAAACAATTCAAGCCTCCTGTTACAATGCTGAAGTAATCTATGGGCAAGATATTGAACAATGCAGAAGTACAAAAGACAGAAGGAATACCTATAGTCATTGTACTGAAAAGAATTGGTCAATGTTCAACCATTTCAGGAGGTAACATTATGATCAAGAACGGAAGGAAAAAGTCCAAATGACACTGAAGGCATTGGCATGAAAAAAAAAAAAAAAAATCTCCAGGAATTGACAGAATACCAACTGAAATGTTCAGCAAATGGGTACAGCGATGGAGATGCCAAGAAATTTAGAAGACAGCTACCTGACCAACCAATTGGAAGAGACCCATATTTGTGACCATTCCAAAGAAAGGTGCCAAGAGACTGTGGAAATTATCAAACGATATCATAAGCATCCAACGCATGTGGAAATTTTGCTAAACTATTTAAAACTGGTTACAGCAGTACACAGACCAGCTGAATTCACAAGAGAATGAGGAATGAAGGGTATCAATGCTGATATATCAGATGGATCTTGACTGAAAGAGAATATCAGAAAGATATTTACCTGTGTTTTATTGACTATCAAACACATTTGACTGTGTATATCATAACACATTACAGAGAGCGCTGAGAAGAACGTTAATTCCGGAACACTTCATTGTGCTCATGCGGAACCTGTACACAGACCAAGAGACAGTTGTTCTAGCAGAACAAGGGGATGTTACGAGGTTTAAAACCAGGAAAGGTGTGTGTCAGAGCTGTGTCTTTTTAACCACATTTATTCAATAAGTATGCTGAATAAATCATACAAGAAACCGAATTATATGAAGAATGTGGCATCTCATATTGAAAGGAAGACACATTCAAAAATCTGCAATATGCAGAAGATACAACTTTTGCTTGCTGAACGTGAAGAGGAATTGAAGCATTTACTGATGAAGATCAAAAATTACAGTCTTCAGTATAAACTGCATCTCAACATAAAGCAAACAAAAAACTTTACAACTAGGCCAATAAGTAACATCATGATAAATGGAGAAAAAGACTGAAATTGTCAAGGGTTTCGTTT